TGAGAGAAGATGTGAAGATGAGCAGATGTGAGAGAAGATGTGAAGATGAGAAGATGTTTTACAGACCCCCACTATTGGAAGAACCCTGCGCTCAGACGCTCTCGGGAAAAATGGAACATCGTAAAATCCATCTAGAAATGGATGATTTGGGGGTCCCATGACTTAGGAAACCCTCCTTTTTTTGGAGGGTTCTCCCAGCTATATCCCACTAGATGTGGCCCTACAACATCCAGTTGTCTACCTACAGGCCCTGGCGGACGTGCTCTCAAGGTGGAGACTCGCGGAGTCAAAACCATCCAAGATTTGCCAAAATTCTCCAAAATCTATATGAACTGCCTATATATATATTATAAGGGTAAGTGGGTTTGTAGAGCTTCTATCAAATGAACAATAGAACAGAGTCTAACCATGAATCATGAAACAGAATGGTTTGAAGCACCAATATTATGAGGAGCATTGGTTTTTTAAAGGCGAGGATACAGGACCTAATTGACTGATGGTTGGTTGATGGGGAAATGATGGGTTCTACTCGCTGGCTTGATATGGAGGACTAATCCATGAACTGAGAATCCCTGTCCACGGCGTTTTTTTTCCAGGGTACCTACATGGCAAAGACCAGCCATGTCTAAGACAAAAAAACACCAAGAATGGGCATGATGTTGCCAGCCAAAATAGACACATGATAGGAAACCATCTGGGAAATGGATGCAAGTTGGCTTCTGCACAAGATGATAAATTTGGGTAGACATGTTTGATCTTTTGCTCCTGACAGAGACCATGAACTCTTGAATGACGTGCGCTGGTCTACTTGTTGGAAAGACCCATGGGCATACCTTATTGGGATTGTTTTGAGACTAGAATGGATGGTGCAGCCGATTCTTGATGGAATTGAACACGACTAGGATTTGTAACACATATCTATATATATATATATTATCTATATTATTATATACAATTATGCACGTCAAATGAAATCCCAGTGCATTTTGGAAATGATCTTGACTTACCCCGCCCCAATCAAACATGGCAGGCTGGGAAATGACCCTTTGGATTGCCAGCCAGGATACGTCGTCACTTTCAATGACGACTAAGAAGGGAAACAGTATGAAATAATATGGAAACAATATGACCCCAACTTCACCATATATCTTGGTGAATGGCCATGAACTGAGAATACTATTTACATATTTATCTACATAACATATGGATCTTCCATGATATTCCTATACGAAATATACACCTTAAACATACTTAAACGGCGCCGTGCCAGGGGGGCGACCCAGTTGCAGCATCTGAATTTGGCGGCCTGTTCCATTGCTGACGCAGGGCCGCCCTGACACAGGGCTTGGAAAGCGGGGCCCATTTGAAGGTGGATTTGAAACATCTTTTTCAGATGGATATATCATATATCTGGGTAAATTAAAACGACCTCACTGTGACCTCACTGGAATCATGGTTAGTAAGGGAAATCATCCCCAAATGGCCTTAATTCAGCTTAGTGAATTATTATAACTTACCATGATATATGAACATCAGATGGTGGCCGGATTTGGTCATTCACAATGGTTGGGTGATGTTCAGATACGACTTGGTGACCCTCCAGGTGAATCATAAAATTCAACCATTTGGATTTGGGAGCTTAGACTTGGACCATTGTAAGATGCTTGGCTGTTAATACTCAGTATCCTGTGTATGCCATTCCGAGTGAACGAAGATCGGAAATCGATGGAGCCAAGAAGCGCGATCCTCGATCCTCGATCGATTCATAGGTGCTATGAAGGCAGAATGTTATATCAAATGATAGAGATATGCATGAATGTTCCGTACATGGATCCCAAACCGCACACACACACATGACATATATATATATAATGTTATACATATTCATCCGGAAGTATGTAGACAGAATATAAATGACTATGACATGTCTGACATCTTCAAGTTTTCATTCGCAGTTTTCATTTTTGGCGTCAGGCCGGATGTCAAGCCCTTATGGTGGCCATTGGGGAGTACAAGGCGATGGCTGGATATGGTGGATTAGGTTGGGTTGAATCAGTTGAATCCATGACTTACCCGGCCTGGTAAATGTTTACAAGAAACGATGGAAAACAACCATTTTTAATGGGTAAATCTACTATTTCAATGGCCATTTTCAATAGCTATGTTAGTTTACCAGAGGGTATATATTCTACATATATCTGTAATATGTAAATATCCCTTGACGTATCCCAATGGTTTCCAGTTACTCACACCATATACTAGCCTTTTGAGAATCAGGCAGAAATGTTGAGTGAACTTAGTGAACTTTGGTTGCTGGAAGCTACGTGTGCTGCTGTTGAAGCTCTGAAGCTCCATTATTTTTTGGCCTAGGGCATATGCTGTCAACAACTTGTTCTTCTTTACAGCTACAAATCATCATCATCATCATGATGATCATCATCATCATCCCCATCATCACCATCATTATATAATCATACTTCTCATCGTTGTCCTCATTGTCATAGTTTTCATCATTGTCATCGCTGTCATCATTGTCATCGTTGTCATTGTCATCGTTGTCATTGTCATTGATGCCGTCATTGCTATTTGAACCTTTAGAGGATCAGAACGATCCATCCAAGTTTGTTCCTGTATTCGGAATGAAGATCCCAATTGACTCTTTGTTCTTTTTGGCAATGGACAAATCCCCAGTTCAAAGCTTGTATGTAGATGATATTCCAATATATTCCATTGAAATGTCCATTTAGATCATTTAGTTTGGGGATTGTCCATCGAGATGTTACCAAAAAGGGAACGGGTTGAAAGTCGATTCAGGCGATGAAGACGCTGGACTTGTCGTGCAATGCCATTGGCAGCTCAGCTGAGGGGCGTGATGGTTGTCCAAAACAGGTCCAAAGATTATCGGATTCAATGATGATTTCATGGTGATTTAGTGGGATTTTGGTGAACATGCACGGTTTTTTATTTTTGTGATTTCAAGATGGCAATGTGCGATTCAACCAACTTCACGGGGATATCATGGGATATAGGATATATACAGTATAATACAGTGAATCAGTTTAATATGATATGGGTTCGTCCATAAATGGGGGATTTTCCCCAATTAGTATGTATAACATATTTAGTCTAGTATATACATATATTGCCTAATTATGTTTGATGGGGAATATGAAATTCTAAGCCGTGGGATATTATATTTATAGGATAGACATGGATAGCTAATTTTCAGACAAATCCTCATACTTATGCTGGTTGTGTCCCAGTCGCACGGTGGTTAGAATATGTTAGAATACCAAAAACCACATAGTTTCGTTGATCCTAGAAGGAGGATGATATCCCGTTTTGGCTCCTCTTCGGAAGTATCGATGGTAGCCCTCCTTCATAAGAAGCAACAGGGCTACCCCAATCATGACGGTTTTGTGCATTCGTTGACATCGATTGCCAATAAATCACGTTCTAAATGGGATAGTCATAGAAGTGACTTGACTAGGTTGTCCTATTTGAATGGTGGCCTTGTTCCATATATCTACTCCACATGAGGTTCGCATAAAATCACCGTCGTCCAGCCAACTCAAATCACGGTATGAGAGCCTGCTCAATCAGTCAGTACGAGACTAATCAGTCTAATCAGTAGAAAACTCCATGAAACACTGGATGTTCCAGACAGCTTGTTTTGAAGAAATGTGAAGCATGTTCCTAGTCGCAACATGTCGCAGCCCTCAGTAAATGGTCGCAACTGTCTATATGATTGAGTGTCACCAGCCAGGTACGTTTTGTATCGTTTTGTGCAATGGAGCATTGGCCAACATCCTCGATTGTTTTTTTTTGGGTTGTATCGGAGTATCCTACCTTTTATGAGCGTGTGCTGCCTTTTGTTGGTCCAAATCCTACTATCAAACAAACATTATGATTCAATGCACATTGGGTAGAGTTCCCAATACTATTGCTAGTTTTAGATCTTTATCAAATATGGGATGGGTCCCCATTCAAACCAGTTTTAAGGGCAAGATGACTAGGTGATGATGCAGCAGGATCTGTGTCCGAGGTGCTGGAGGGAAAACTGAAAAACTACAACTGGTTTCATCAACAGCGGAAAAACTGGTTTTCACATAGCAGTGGATATTTCCATAGTGTTGCTTATGGATATTTCCGTAGTTATTCAAATTACATAGCATCTATGTGTCATGGATTGACGCTATGTTATGAATTACTGGAGGCAGATATTTCTGCTGGTTCACCCTAACCCCAGTTCAATGAGTGATGCGAACGGACTTGCTGCCGCTATTTTTGTGACCGGAAAGATGATATGTGTGTAGCTCCGTACATTGTTTATATATATATACTGTATATATCAAATATAGATATATAATACAATTGGTATACGTATATATATGTGTGTGTGTGCCATATTGAAATCTTCATCGATCCTCAAAAAGTCCAACTGTGACTGTGACAGATGTTGTTTGTTGCCGAAATCCTCACATATAATTTCACACGTAGCTATAACCAAGTTTATATAAATAATATATATATAATATAATATAATATAACAAAATATAATACAATACAATATATTATATTATATAAATAATATATCATATGATATAATATATCATATATATAATATATAATATAATATAATATAATATCTAAAATATAAAATAATATATATATATTACATATAATATAGTATAATATTTATAATATATAACATAATATATATAATATAATACAATATACAATATGATATAATATATATATATAATTTAGAATATAATCAATAATATTAAATAATATAATATGTATATAATATATAATATAATATATAGTATAATATAATATAATGTAGTATAACATAACATAATATAGTTTAATATAATATATAATATATTATATAATAGTGTATTATATATATATATGTAGTATAAGATCATATACATACACACATCGTGTCCAAGATATTTTCGCTACATGACTTGCTTTTGGCTCCAGGGACCGTGTCGTCATGAGGCCGGCTTACCAGCTGCCACAGGGTGCCATGCACGCCATGCCCGCCATGCCCGTGGCCGGGGCCCACGGCCACGTGTCGTCTCCCCACGTGGTGATGCGTGCGCCACTGCCGGGCTATGGCTCCCCCACGGCACAGATGCACCAGGCCGCTGGAATGGAGAGTTTTATGATGATCCTGTTGGTTGATTGCTTGAATATCTGATCTAATTTATGCTATTATTATGTATAATTTTCTATAATTATCTATTATTATCGATTATTGCATACTGTTTTTCATATGCATTGGCATATGCTTTGTAATGTGATGTCATGAAATTTGATCTGATGGGATGCGATGCGATGTATGCATGCATGGACTTACTGTATGTTTTATGACCTGGCTCAAGCAACCAAAATATGTGTTTGTTTGCGCAAAACCACAAGACACAACAAGAAAAAATGTTTTGGTTGGCGTTCTTGTGTATACATTTCATTCATACAGGAAGGTTGAAAGCACCATCTAGAGCTGTAATTAACAAGAAATAGGGTTTCTTCTCCAGTCAAAATTGGTACCCTTTGGTTATTTAACAGAGCCATGGGAAATGGCCCATAGAAATAGATGGTTTACCTGTTTACCTATTAAAAATGGTGATTTTCCATGGCTATGTTGGTCATAACCAGATAGTAGATGAATCTCGGAGATTTTCCGTAACGAAACTGGTGATTTCATCTGCGCTGCAAAACACTACTGGCATGACCAAACGGGAAGATCATTAGTAGATTATTAGATACTGTATATATGTACATATGTATATGTATCAAATAATTACATATATCTATATACAAATATATATATATATATACATATACATACATACATATATACATATACAGATATATATATACATACATATATATATACATACATACATACATATATATACATTACAAAACAATATTTATATATATATAGTGCAATCCATGACTTGAATCTCCATGAGCTAACCGTGGTTTAACCAGTAGAAAAACTCATGATCCACAACCCCAGGCCTCACTCTGGGCCTGGCAGTGCTGGTTATGGGTCAAAACCCTGCTTACCCTAAAATAGATCAATGGGAATTCCAGGATCCTAAAATGAAGGTACTGTACCATATAATGCCATATTTTGTGGGGATATTCCCTTACATAGGCCTTACATAGGCCTTACATAGGCCTTATATATGGTAGGTACCTCCAATCTAGGATCCTGAAATGGCCATTGAATAGATGGTTAATGAATGTTGATTCCCCCAAATATGTTAATAATATGCTAATAATATGGTGATAATAGGTTTTGACCCATCCCCATATCAGAATGTTCAGTGATTCCTTCTCCCTACTACATAACAAATCCCTGGCTGAGTAGTGGATCTACCGTAATCATGTTGGGAGCCCGCTTAAGAAAATGTTCTGCGATCCGGGGCTAGGATCATATCCATTTGACCCACATGTTGATAATATGTGGATATATATGTGGTATGTTAGATACCAATGTTGTTGTTGTTGTTGTAATATTTTGAGGTGGTGAAGTCCTGTGAAGTCCCAATGTTGACCAGGGAACTTCATGGGAACTTCCCAGCTGGGTCCCAGGTAAGCTTCCAGATACCCCAGCAGATGCCTGCGCCGCGTGTGGTGCTTCCTGGACAGATGCCGATGATGCAGGCTGTGACTTGTTGATGGTTGGAGGAGACACTGGCAGTTTCTGGTTTCTGTATCCTTTTGCATGGGTAGGTTGCAGTAATAATAGGTCCATCTGCTGTCAATGGAACAACTGATCATACTTACCAGCTTGGTTGTCGTGTTTGTTAATTGGTATCTAAGATTGACCACGGTTTCGTGCTGCAAGTGGAGATAGAAGCAAAAGGAATAGCAAAAGGAATAGGGCCAACTGACAACTACTTGGTGGTCTTAAGTATCTTCTCTTCCCCTAGTTAGGAGGTTAGTACTTGAATCTGTTGCAATAGATTGCACTATTCACCAATTAGCAAAAAGTTGTGGTTTGCAGGGTATCTATGTAGGATCGGCCATGCTATACAGACCAGTTTCTCCTTCAAAGCTACAAGATATGCCATGATTGTTCGATCCCTATAGGCCCCATAGTTGGGATGGATAGCCCAAACTGACCCTTTGTGGATAGATTGAAACCACAAACCAGTTGTACGCAGGGTTGAAGGGTTTCTTCTTGGTGGTTATGTTCCTCATGTTGGGTATGTCACGGTGATTTGGTGCCTTCCCTGTGGTAAATCAAAAACTGAGGAATCTCTAAAGTCATTGAGAATATGTTTGTCATTAGGTCCTATAGGTAATGATTTCAAAAAAGAGTGGTGCACTTCGTTTAGTCTATACAACTATATAATTGAAGTTACCCTAGGGTAAACTAACACGGACACCATTAGTTTTCCACATCTATGTTAGTTTACCTCCCACAAAATCCCATGAAATCACAATCAGATTACCATTAAATTCCATTAAATCTCCATTAAATCACCATAAAATCTTTGGGCTCTGCATGTCCAAAAGATTTTTTGCGCGCCCTTTGTGACTCACCACGGTCCTTTTTTTCCGAGGTCCGAAGTTTGCCTGCGCAGAGCGGAGCTAGCGGAGCTGGTGTTCCTCAGGCGAAGTTCCGATGAGTTTGGGGCGGTCCGATGTAGCTAATAGTACTAAATACTAAAGGATATCATTAGTATTAGCTATAGTTATTAGTATAATAATGTATAATAGTATATACTATTAGTATTTAGTACTAATGCTAGCTATATCAGCATAATAATGTATAATAGTATATAGCTATAGTTATTAGATGTTACTTAGTAATTATCCTCTTATACTAACTATATGTAATTATCAGCTATAGTAATTCAAAGATAAGAGGATAATTAGTAGATACTATAGTTAATATTGACTGTAGCTGATAGTTAATGATATTAATATAGCTGATAGTTACTATAGCTGATACTCAAGTTCCAGATAGTGATTCCCGGGTTAAAACTAGGGGAGTCAATCGGATGACCATACCCCATGAATCCCATGCAACTTGACTGTGGGACATATGAACAACTTGTGGGGAAAGCCTAGTTTTTGTATAAGTTGTGTCGAGGATGTTTTTGGGACTTAACTTAGCTCCCCATTTTGTACATAGGGTCCTCCATGTTCTTTCTTGGCATTGACTTGTCTAAAAAAATGGAGCTGTATACCCTTTTTTGATCGGGACATGATGTGACAAACCATCAGATTTTCCTAGGCTACTGAGTAGCGGCTACTGTACCCTGTTTACAGACACTCCATTTGATTTGTTGATGTCGGTGGGTCTACATGGGATACCTTTGGATACCTTTGGATACCTTTGGATACCTTTGGATACCTTTGGATACCTTTGGATACCTTTGGATACCTTTGGTTATGTTATAACCACCATCCTCATTGTTGGTTTTATGCTCCCATGTATTCCCATATACAGTATATTCGCATATGTATGTATATATATTATATATATGTATATATACACATAACTATATATTTATACAATACTATACATATATATATAGTATATACATCTTGGGGATTTCACCAACCCTTTACTAAGCCAGTCTTTCGGCTTCCCAGCCGCCCCTTGGTGTTTTGAGGCACGCAACGCGGGCGGGCCGATGGTGCGCATGAAATCGGAGGATCAGTCCCCAATGGTTCAGAAGGCCAAAACTGAGGCGCCCTAATGGGTTATCCCAGGGTTATCGGACGGAAAAACTGGGGCAGTTTTTTCCGAAGTTTGGATGATGTGTCTGAAGATGTCTGAAGAATCTGATGAGATGGCCAAATGATGACAAATGACTGTAAAATGTGACTAGATTTAGGTGTTGGAACTGGGGTATATACGAAGATAAGATCATTTTATTCAGTGTTGGCCACCGCATGGTTGTTGCAAAGGCCATAGCTATCAACTTACTTAAGTGACTTTTATTTCATGTCTTACTTCGATTGGAGCGGAGCCACTGTCCGCAAAACCCCTCGAGGTGGGTGGCTGGTGCTCGGTACCAAGGAATATATGTGTGAAAGGATGGCTATTTATTTTTGTTTTTTTTTTCGCAGTAGGTTTTGGATTTTTTTGGAGGGGTTCCTGGTTCCATGCTTTCTGCTTCTTTGCTTCTCTGCTTTTTGCTTTTCCTGCTTCTCTGCTTGTCTACTTCTCTGCTTCTCTGCTTTTCTGCTTTTTGCTTTTCCTGCTTCTCTGCTTTACCTGCTTCTTTTCTTTTCTGCTTCTCTGCTTTCCCTGCTTCCCTGTTTTTCTGCTTTTGTGCTCTTCCTATTGTACTTTGTTCTTTTCTTCAGTCATGTGCTTTGCTGCTCTACTTCCTGCTCCTCTGCTTCTCTGCTTCCTGTCTTTACTACCTCTTTTTTTTTTCTTTTCTTTGCTTACTTTGTATCCTAAATAAAACTCTAAAGACCCAAGGTGAAACCAAAAAAAACCTTAAAGAAATCCTGATAAGAACTCCTGATAAGAAACCCCTACATGAAACCCTAAATGAACCCTAAAGAAACGATAAATTGACCCTAAAGAAACCATAAATGAAACTCTAAAGAAACCCTAAATGAAACCCTAAATAATGAAACCCTAAATAATGAAACCCTAAAGAAACCCTAAATAATGAAACCCTAAAGAAACCCTCAATGAAACCTCAAATGAAACACCAAAGAAACCCTAAAGAAACCCACAAGAACGTTTGGAAATCCTGATAAGAAATCCTGATAAGAAACCCTCAGAATTAGAATGAAACCCTAAATGAAACCCTAAATGAAACCCTAAAGAAACCCCCAACCATAATGAAACCTTAAATGGAAACTTATATGAAACCCTCAATGAAACCTTAAATGAAACCTTAAATGAAACCCTACATGAAACAAATGAAACCCTAAAGAAGCCCTAAAGAAACCCACATGAACGTTTGGAAATCTTGATAAGACACCCTTAAATGAAACCCTAAATGAAACTCTGAAGAAACCCTAAACCTAAAGAAACCTGAAATGAACGCCTAAATGAAACCCTTAATGAAACCCTAAAGAAACCCTAAAGAAACCCTAAATGAAACCCTAAATGAAATCCTAATGAAACCCGAAATGAAACCCGAAATGAAACCCTAAATGAAACACTAAATGAAAGCCTAAAGAAATTCTCAAGAAACCCACATGAACGGTTGAAGTACCAAAATTCAGCAAATACCATGCAAATGAGAGGTTGAAATGCCAAAACGTCGCAAATACCATGCAAAATGGAAGGCAAACATTGCCAAATGTAGCAAATACCATACAAAATGCAAAGTAACCATGCCTCTAGCAAATACCATGCAAAATGACAGATTCTAGTTCCAAACTGTTGCAAATACAAGGCAAATGGTACCAGGAAAGAAAACCAAAAAAATATCCAAAACCTGAGCAAAAAAACAAAAACTATTCTGAACCCTTTGTGAAATGATGCCACATGACTTTCATGCCTGTTTTTTTTTCTGGGGTGGCTTGAAACTAGCAACCAGATCACATAAATGTTATATACCCTCGGGTTGATAAGCATAGAGCATAGATATGGAACGCCCACCAGTTGATAATGTTTTCCTATTGAAACCCATGGATGCCCATATCGATGTGACGGTAGTTTATTATAGGAGTGTTGCACGTGTTTCTCCAAAGCCTACAGAATCAGGCAACTGAAGAGACCTTTTCAAGCCAGAGAAACAATCCACAAGTTGTTTTTTGCTGCTTTTTTGGTGCGTTGTTTATAGCAGGTGCCACTGCGAGGAATCATCAGCAAGTTTCAAATGGCTATGAGTTGCTGGGCTTTCTGCTGGATGGGGACTCGCAGATGATGAGCGATGGGATTGTTGACGAAGATCTTTGGGATGTCTGCTGGGGGTTGAAACCACCAACCAGACTAACACTTCTGACATCCTAAATATGTCTTGATATGTTTTGATTGTGTCTAGAAGTTTATGTATGTGATTCTATATAAGCATAAGATGCTATCTATAGGTTCCCCAAATTGGTATGTGTTCCTCAGTTCAGTTGTGGTTCCCAACGGTTTTTCAATGTTGACCCATAACCTACCTGGCTCCTAAAGCCCTGGCTGAACTCGAAGGAGCGCCCTGGACGTCACTGCAGATGGCCAGTTTTTGTTGATCCATCCCGGCCTGAAATTTCTGCTGAAATATGAATATGAAGCCCATTAGAGATACAGAGATTATATATGTATACTGTATAATTATGTGTATAAATATATATATATATACATAATATAAATATATATGATTTGTCTCAGTTCAAGTCGATGAGTTTCCAACCAGGGTCAGCCAGACTTGAAGGGAATCCCAACCTTGACCGGGTGACAGCCAGCCAGGTGGGCACTGCTTGTGCATCATGCATCCCAGGTTGTAAGTGTCTAACAACCAAATCATATTTGGGTGTTGTCACGGTTTATCTAATCTATAATATATATATATATGTATATATATATACACATACATATATGTAAATGGGTGAAATAACCATTCAGAACCACACAGTTGTGCCCATCCAACTATAGATATCTCCATCAAAAACCCAACTGTTAGGCTAGTTATAAACCAATGTCGCTAATCGGGGTACCACTTTGTACCAGCCAACGAAACCCATTGAACAAAAGAACAACATATGTTGTTCAACCACCATTTTCCCTGGAAACCCCTTAAAAAAAAACAACCCAAAATAACCTAACATATGTTGTTTAACCATGTTTTAACCATCATTTTCCCAACCATCACCATTGTTTCCCATGGTTTCGCCATCAGAAGCTCTCTCCATAGGCCGTGAGTCGGAGATGACCCGGGCCACCACCCTGGAGGAACTGGACGAAGTGGCGGCCAATGCCTTGTAGCTGGGACGGGCCGCCATTTTTCGACGGAGGGAAAGTTTCTGAGAAACCATCGGTTGATGAAAAATGATGGAGAGATTGACTAGAAAACAGTTGATGAAACTTACAAAAAACTTCGAGTGATCCGAAAACCGTGGCATTTTAGACAACTGTTCAGATTCTAAGTGTACAACCAAACAATAAGAGGAGAGAAGTGCCACAATGGCAATCACGTCCGCAGTCCTTTTTTCCACTTCAATGGACCTGCTCGTTTGCAGCGGCCCCGCTGCACTGAACCTGTCATGCGGCTGATGCGCAAATACCACGGCTTGTTGAAAGATCATGCCTCGGTTTCCAAGACTGAGCACTGTCTCATCCAAGCGCTGCCATGTTAACCCAAAGAAAGTCGTTACTTGCTACTCCACCTCAGTCAAAACTGGTTAGGTCCCACAGAATGCAGTTCTACGTCAAACAGTCCCAAACATGACAGCCGACCACCTGAAAAGGTCAGGGTGAAAGATTTCCAAACATGAGTGCAGTCGACCTGAAGAGTGAGACAGTGAAGCAACCCATTAAATGCTAGCCACAAGCGAGGCCGAAATTGTCATGTCAACTCTTTAAGATACCCCCCTGTTGGGAGGAATTCTGTTCAATCAGAAGAAATTGGGCTGTAAAACTAAACGTGCTGGTCATCTGGTCAGAGTTTCTTGGCCCTCCTAGGAGCCAAGGACGGTGAAATTATAGTATAGATTCTAGATGGGGAGCCAAAGAGCCCAAGTACCCCGAAAACCAACTGTTTGTCCATGACAAAAGAGGAGTTGTTCAACAACAACAACAACAACAACTACAACAACAACAACTACTACTACTGCTACTGCTACTGCTACTGCTACTACTATTACCACCACCACCACCACCACCACCACCACCACGACGACGACGACGACGACTACTACTACTACTACTACTACAGCAACAGCAACAGCAACAGCAGCAGCAGCAGCAGCAACAGCAACAGCAACAACAACAAAGCTATGGGGTCCATATCAAACCAAGGGATATCATTACTGGATATGTATAACCAACAGCATGTGGGGGTTGTCCAGAAGTTGATGGAGGAAATGATGATAAACGTGAGACTTATCACATGCCCGCAGGGCGTGAGGCAGCACAATCTTTGACTTTTGCCAACACAGAACCGACCAGCCAAATGATGATAGATCATGATATGAGTAGAGGTAACACAATCATGGTGATGTCAATTCAAGCCTTTCACAATAGAGAGGAGAGTTAATCCAACAAGAGCGGGATCTTTGATTGTAAGAAGGATTGGACAACGCGGTATGAGCCGAAGGGATCGATAGCAAGGGAAGATGGTGACCACAGCTGGTGAGACTATCTTAGATTCTGGCCATGCAGCATTCGACATTGCCTCCAAGCTGCTTCCCCAGGCAATGTTGTTTGAAACTATTCCACAAATGGCTTGATATGGCTTGGAAATGTTGAGATGCCATGGATAGAGACTGATTTGGACGATTGCACTTTGTTGCTTCCAAGCAAAAGCTGATGCTCCTTGGGCGAAATGGGAAGATGACCCCACTTGACGGTGAGTTTGGACGCAGCTCAGGCAAGATATCGCCGACAAAGAACGCAAACGAGGCTTAAAAGGGTTCCATCATTGTTGCTTCAACGGATACCAATGGATGGTAATTAAATGGTTCCATCATATCGGTTCCATTGTTCCATTACCCTCTGGTAACATGGCATTGGAACATCTCTGATGATTTTCCCATTAAAAAGGTCATCCAAACTGGGACAGGGACCTGGGGCTTTCCCAAGAACTTCTAAGTGGAATGATTGTCCAAGAGCTTAGGGATGTTTTTGTTTATGCCAGAATAAAAGTCTGGAAAGCACATGAAAGAAAAGACAAGTTTGCTGCTGATGTGGGATCCTAACCAGTGTTTGAGACATCCAGTTGATGGCTGATTTGCCAAGTGCTCCATCTTTGAGATATGTCCCAGCTTATTCTCTCCAAAATGGCTCACATGCACCATCCGCACGCTGGATGAATGACCCCGACTGCTGAATATCTAACGGCACTAGTGTGATTGAGGGTCCTCCTACTTAATGGGATCCAGCACCGGTCAACTTTTAATTCCAATAGAGGCGCCATTCAATGCCTTTGTGGCGGCGGCATGATGTTTGTTCGTATCCATGAAAAAGCTACACCAATTTTGGTGTGAGTACCGGGCACCAGACCCGACCCATACCCACATATTGGATGCACATCTGGAAAACCACTGAACAACATTGGGGGTATGATGCTATACCACCCAGAGTCCCGGTTGATTATATATTATGTATAATATATATATAATATAATATATATATATATATGTATGTATGAATATACATATCAATATGATTATACAGATATCATATGACCATTCAATTTGGTATATACACATCTATATACAGATGCACTACACGCATGCAGTAGAAATGGGGTGCTGCACATCGCAGGTTCGCCCACCTCTGGCAACATGGCGAAGAATTCCAGTCGCGACTCAGTGACGATTTTGGGGACCAGGGTCCTGTTCTTGGAGCAACAATACTTACATGGGGATGGGTCAAAACCCTGGTACCTAGTGAACCCCAAAATAGCTGGTAAATCGATGTTCATCCCACTAAAAATGTATCTGTAGGTATTGACCCATACCCACATAAGCATAATGGTACTAGATATATAATAAGCATAATAGTTGTTTTTGTATGTTTTTGTCACTATCAATCATTATCATAAGTGTCAGTTATTGTTGTAATTGTAGTGATGATGATAACAATCAGCAAAACAATCAGAAGAAGGACATGGGACCTACACTCGGTGGTGACATGCTGACAATCATGGACACCCCAGAACCGTCATTTTAAATAGGACAAATTGAATGTGGTATCCTATGATTCCTATGTTCCAACGAAAATTGAATTTGGAGAAAAAACCTTCCGTGAGGTGAAGGCTACATATTTATGTCGCTGCCCAATGAACACATCAAGCCTTCAATAAACTTTGGAACGGATGGGAGCGTAGATGCCTGCTGCTTGATGTTTTGATGTTTTCATGAATCCCTGTTTTCACAAAAAAAAAACATCCAGCATGCTCCGATTTGGATGAACAAATCTCATATTTTGCTGATGTTTGCTGCTGAAATCTGCAACTTTTCTGAGCTGAGACGCCAGGCAGTATCCTGAAACGATCCTCAACCACCAACTCCATTGGCTTGGTGAGGCTGAATCCGCGGGGTCAAAACCCTTGGAGAAAGTGGTGCTTCAACCATGTGTTTATATATGTTTATGGGATTTAGTGGTGGTTCAATCAGATTATATATAAACATATTATGGACGTTTTATGGAAAGTGAATGGGATTGATTTGTACAATTTTCCATATTTTTTTGGGGATGAATGTTTATGAAGAACAGGTGAACCGAAGGGTACCAGGGTTTTAATCCATCATTTCTTTCCAGACATCGTATTTCTTCAAATTTATTGTTTGCTATAGATTTTGAGGTCACTGTGGCCAGGATGCGTTATTATACATATTTTTTGCGATCGTTGTTTGGATTGATTTGATATGTTTTGATGTATTGATTTTGGATGGTTTTGGTATTCATGATGAGTACTACAGTTAGATTTACTGTTGCTTATGATGATGATCATGATATATCATGATGATGTGACCCTTCTTGGGTTTGATGTCCTGGCTGGTCATGCTTTACAGCTCAAGCACCATTGAAGTACCAATCTCACCCAACAGGCCACAAGCAACTTACAAGTCACCCTCGTGGGTTTTATAAGCCTGGTTATCGAATTCGCCTCAAGTCTTGTGTGTTTTGGTGAATCCTTTGCTGGTTACAGTACTCATAGTTGCAACCCTTCACCCAACAGTTGAGCTTCACACATCCCTTCGCATCATCACATTCTCAACCAGATGCAAAGATGCTTCCTTTGCGAATCAGTTTTGCATCCCCTTTACTAAGCATTCTTTGCTAAGTGCTCCCCGGCATAAGTTCCTTCAGTTTCACCCAAGTATAGATGCATGATGCATCCACCATCCCCCAACAGTTTCATTATAGACTTACCCATTTGTTGTTGATTTTAACTTATAATATATATATATATATATAATTATTGTTAATTATGAATAAGTTTTAACTTTAATAGGTTAATAATGATGGCCATCCTTATAACTATTAATTTGTGTATCTTCTAATGTTAGGTTGTCTCATATCCCCTCATGAGGTGGGGCACCTTGCCGCAGGCCCTCGGTGAAATCGCCCCGTTCGGTGCAGCAAGTGGAGCGGCAATCCTCGCAGCCTTCGCTGAAAGCTGCAGTGCTGGTGGCAGGCGCAGCAGAACTGGTGGATTTTGAAAGGAATGAATGTTCAATATCCGTTATTCATAGGATGAAGTGGAGGAATGGTGTTGACATCAATGACATCAATACTATGTTTATCTATATATATATACATATGTACATATATAATTACATATGTGTATATATATATATACACATTCACATAGTTGTGTTTTGTGCAAAGATCCGTCAAGAGGATACACATACCCGGTATTACAGCATATGTCAGCATAACCAATGGGATATGACATTGTCTAACATATTATGTATCCATATCATGTATCATCATGTATCAAGTTTGGGCGTGGTGAATGTTTAGCCATGGAAATGTCGGTGGGTTTCAAGATGTGGAGAATGGGGATTTAAGCCATCAGGGTTGAACTCTTGAACCATCAGACATGGAGATGTCATCATCAGAAATGGGGATTGAAAGCGTCCAATGTGGAAATGTATCGACAATTGAATATATGCTGTTTGACTTTGCAGCATCGTGAAATGGAAAATGCCGTGGACTGTAATGTTTCAGGGGAGTCAACACGATCAACTAGTCTTCTTTAAGGGTGATTGGGATGGGCTGATTGACAAGGATCAATTGAGACAAATCTAGATAGTTGGGTTTTGGGACACATGATCAACAACATCATCGAAATATTTGGTACTGTGACGTAGTGTGTAGTGGGGAATGTGACGATTTTCACCCATCCCATATGAAAATGATTAACGTATACCAACATATTGTCAATGGGATTTGGGGGCTTCCCATCAATGGGAGTACCCAATAGCTGGATGGTTTATAAGGGAAAAATCCAGCTATAAATGGATGATAACTGGGGGTACCCCCATTTATGGAAACCCCCTTATGGACCTATGAACCATCAACCAAGAAAGGATTGATATTCGCTGACACCTGGGGAAGCAGCCGATGGAACCCATGGAAAGCATAGTTGGCTGGGACCACCAAGGTGGTACCCAAAGGGTCTATATATAATTATAAATATATATTAATATATATACAATTATATACAGAATGGATTCAATTTCAGTACAAGTGGTCAAAGTCCAGTTTAAGCTACGATTTTCTATGTCGGTTATCATTGGTTGGCCTTTGTTATCCTAGTTGTAATTGCTGCTTTTGTTTGCTTGTGAACTCGGTTTAGTTGGTAAACTGCCTCTAAGTTTTGCTATTTACAACGGACTTTCAAACTGTTGAGGTAGTACTATACCTATCTATCAATCCAACTATCTACCTATTTACCATATCACCAGTTAATTCACCAATTTATTGACATTGGATAGCATAAAAGATATCATTAGTTAATTCACTGCATTTAACTATCCAGTGGTTAAATAGGAACTTAAGGAGCTATGGATATCCATATTCCCTATTAAACGGGGAGCCAAGGAGCTACAGTTTCCCAACCACATGATACTGTGGATGGTTGCGAAATCCTGCACCAGTTGGTAAATGCTTCATCCCATTATAATCCCATTATTTACCAGTAGTTGATAAATTTACCAATAAAATTCCATTATGTTACCAGTAGTTACTATTATTAATCCCAAATTGGTAACTCTTGATATTTTTTCATAGTCAATTACTAATAGTTACCAATTGGGATTAATAATAGTACCTGGTAAAATAATGGTAATTATTGGTAAATGGTTCATCCTATAATGTTTCATAGTTACCAATAGTTACCAACTGGTTAGTTAAAAAAAATCACTAGGGCAGATCGATCCCATGAGGTGTCGCGGGCGGTCAAACGCCCCGCTCCCCCGGATGGAAATCGCCGCGCTCCCCAAGGCGTTTTGGGCGGGTTTTGGGCGAGCGGGGCATGGCTCATGGTGAGGTGAACCTGTCTTCCATGGGTCAACGTGGCGAGGTTCAAGGAAGAGCCAGATGCATTTGTCACGCCATTGGTCACTCGATCCATGAGCGCCAAGATTGGCCTGCTGGAAGGTTTCTCGCTTGCAGAAAGGGAAATCGCTGAGACGGGATGATGATCCCCAATGACAGGCATATCTTGTCACCGGGCTTGAAATCACCAAGTATAGACAAAATACGAGGACTTCGGTGAGATTTTATGGAGACGATGTTCTACCATGTTCATTGCTAGTCGGGTTCATTGTTTGGATACAGCGAATAGAATAGGATTACTATAGCTAATACTTAATATCCCTACTTTCGTGGGTGATTCCCATGAGGGTTTATGTGGCTATCCATTTTCATAATTTAACATAAACGGGCCATTTTCCATATGGAGGTACGGTCAACATCAGCTTCGATTAATTATAAAGGAACTCCAAAATTCTTTAAATTTCATCAGAGTTAACTGTTTTTAACATTCTATTAGTTTTATCAAATTTAACCAAGTTAACTTTGATATGTTGTATCAGCCCTAAACTAAATAGTGAATTTTCCTGGCCGCTCGCCATTTTTGTCGGAGAATCAGCCACTGGGATGACCTGAACCTCTGGCCATGCGCCAGGACGTTTAAGTTCCGAAGACTCCCTGGAGGTCCGCGGGGTTGAAGGGCCTGCTGTGAAAGCTGAATATTTGGAGTATAATATGGATATATAATGGGAATATAATGGGGATATAATGGAACTATGGATATAATATGTTATAATATGTATATTTGTTTGGTGGTTTGGAACATGACTTTTATTTTTCCATATATTGGGAATAATACTCCCAACTGACTCATATTTTCAGAGGGGAAACCACCAACCAGATATGCATTATGGATGTTCCATGATGTTCCAGTATTAGATATAGAAGTACAAGTCAAGTATGTAGATCAAGCATGTAAGAATGATTCTCCTTACATTTCTGAATATTATATATTATATAGGTTATACACATATAATGTATACATGTGGGCCACCAAGTTCCTTCAAATAAGCAGCCATTTTTTCGGCGGCCGGAAAGGTGAGCATTCAAAGCATGAAGAGCATAGATGTCTCGGATCTTTGGCAAAAAAAGATCGGCGTTTACCTGGTTGATTTGGGATAGGGATAGGGATATAGTCAACATAGTTATCCTGGAGTAGATCGAATATCTTTTCTTTTCGAAAAACCTCACAATAGATCTGAATAGCTTTGAAAATCGCATCTTCTATCTACTTTAGGATGATTATATATGCATATATATATAGAGCCATCAGCATGTTTAATTTGGATTTGGTACCTGAAAATGGAGGGTAATAAAGCCTCCCATGTTATGGCTGGAAAATCGGGATGTCATAATCCATTGGAATTGGGGGTAGCCTATTTCCAAAGAAACCCAGCAATGTTTTGGTGTTAGAATGCTTCAAAATAACGTGTAGATATTATTGCAGTCTGCTCAATGGGATGGCTAATGGGATGGGATAGGTCAAACGTTTTTCGCAAAGACCCAGAGATGTTGGTCATTCTTTAAAACATAATGCAGTGAGGTTCCATTTTGATCAATTTTCTGGGCACCCGACTTTGACTATTACCAATATACACTTTGAACAACTATGAGGAGCTCGCCACAATTTCACCATGAGAAGTGTTTGGCAAAGGAAATCATGCTTGAAGTGGCCAATTTCAGGTCAATGAAAGATCATCATTTGTTGGATTTGAAGGACCAAAGTCTATATATAGACCTGCCCATCATTCATCGCTTTTTCAGGGAACTCCTCCCTCTCAGCAGAGCCAGAACTAGGCTGAACTTTGAGCGGGGCTCTTCCCACCGAGAATGATGGTGGGATGAGCATACCTGGCATCATACCCCATATATCTTTAGAAATTAAATTACTTTACTTCGTGTGATCCCCACCATGACATTTATACATTTTCTTACTGGCAAATCTTCTGGCATTCTATCTGACATATCTTCTGACATTCTATTTGGCATTCTATCTGGCATATCTTCTGGAATATGATCTGGCATATCTTCTGGCATATCTTCTGGCATTCTATCTGGCAAATCTTCTGGCATTCTATCTGGCATATCTTCTGGCATTCTATCTGACATATCTTCTGGCATTCAATCTGACATTCTATCTGGCATATCTTCTGGCATATATTCTGACATATCTTCTGGCATTCTATCTGACATATCTTCTGGCATATATTCTGACATATCTTCTGGCATATCTTCTTGCATATCTTCTGACATATCTATCTGGCATATCTTCTGGCATATTTTCTGGCATTCTATCTGGCAAATCTTCTGGCATTCTATCTGGCATATCTTCTGGCATATTATCTGGCATTCTATCTGGCATATCCTCTGGCATATCTTCTGGCATATCTTCTGACATTCTTTCTGACATTCTTTCTAACTTTCTTCTGCACATTCTTTGTCCCATATCTTCCTACATGAGGTCCGGCAGGGAACACTTGGCATGGATGGTCGTGGTTGAGGTCCGGCAGGGAACACTGGGCGCGGATGGTCGTGGTTGAGGTCCGGCAGGGAACACTGGGCGCGGATGGTCGTGGTTGAGGTCCGGCAGGGAACACTGGGCGTGGATGGTCGTGGTTGAGGTCCGGCAGAGAACACTGTGGATCGCGGGTCGCAGTTGGACGAGGACGACGAGGACGACGAGGACGACGAGGACGACGAGGACGACAAGGATGACAAGGAGGACGAGGAGGACGAGGAGGAGAGGAGGAGGAGGAGAGGAGGACGAGGCAGGAGGAGGCAACTGACATAAAATCTAACAACCCTCACCTGGCAGGTGGGGAAAAAAATGATGGCACATGTGGCTGCAACGTAGTTCGAGCACTTGATTTGCTTCACCTTGAGAAGATAGTTGAGTTTCAAATTGCAACCAAGCAAAGAACAGCTGATTTCACGTATACATCTTACTGAGACATGGGATGTCTATCACAAACGTTGGCTGCAAGTACCAATTGAATCAACTTCTATACCCCCCACTTTGCTGCATATTTCCTGTACCCATTTGTCTTCATCAGTTCTTCTTGGGCGACACATCCCTTTTCGTTTGCTCTGCAGAGGAAAAACCACTTGGGCTGCATCTCTCAATTCCCCTTGGATGGTGAAAACCCATGGAATTTCCTCAGTGTCAATGGACAATCAACTGCAATCAACCCAGTTAAATCCCTGACTTTTGATCGTTTTTCTGGGAAGTGGCGAGCCACTGCCAACCAGTTTTTGCCTGCCAAAATACAGAACCGCTGAAGGACTCCTATGAGGAGTACAAACACGCAGCGGAGCGCGTGAGAGCCTTGCAGCAGCAGCTGGGTCGCGCAGCCTCGCCCGAGGCAGTTGGACATGTTTTTGTTGGGGTGAACGTCACCAAAAATGAGTCACCAAAAAACGTGTGATATAAACAAAATAGGGGTGAAATCTCATGAAGTATATATAATCAACTATCCCAGAGTGAAGGACGGAAGATGATGAAATTCAGTCTCTTTTTAAAGTTCAAAGGTGATTTATCAATGTGGGAAACCCAATAGTTAATAAACATCCCACATGACTTACCCTCTGGTAAACTAACATAGCTATTGAAAATGGCCATTTATAGTGGATTTACCCATTAAAAATGGTGATTTTCCATAGCTATGTTAAATTACCAGATGGTACCAGAAATGGGTTGCATAACCATCCCCAACTCGGTGGACATCGGAGCCAGGTGGTTCCGACGAAACGCACCGCCTCCTTGCGATCTCCCATTGAGGAGGACGACATGGATGATGAACCCGAGGTGTGGCAGGAGGGCTAGGGGTTTCCATGGGGGGATCCCCAAATCAAGGATGGCAATGGGAAATCCGCTACACACGGAGGTTATGAGGTTTGAATGGGAAAAGCATCTACAAATGATGGATTTGTCCCCAAAGTTTGGATGGTTTATGATGGAAAATCCTATTGACATGATTTAAAATGGATGAATTGGGATCGAATGGGGATGAATCATTGGGGGTGGTCTTAAAATGGGGATACCCAAAACCATAGGTTTCAATACTGACTTGCATGATTTGGGGGTCCATTTTAGGAAACCTCCAATTGGCTAGATAGTGGAGATAATGTGGAGATGATGGCGATGAATTTGGGTCACGTGGCAACGGAAAATCCACCATTTCTAGATGATTTTCCCATTGAAACCTCCGTTTTGATGCGGGATGTTCCATTCCCATGTTTGATTACCGGAGGGTATATACATAGATATAGTCCTATCCAGATGTGAATGAAGA